CACTTAAAAATTGGGGGAAGTGGAGAAGGAAAACAGGCATTTAAAAAAATTCGTAGTCAGGGAAGGGGCAGATCCCCTTTTTCTTGCACTATAGTCAAATCGTCGAAAAAGTTGCCCCCCCCCCCCCCAATCACCGCCACAAAATAGGATTTTGGAGATTTATTTTATTTTTATTGTTTTTAATATTATTATTATTCTATTATTAATTTTTTTTTTGCTTGTCAAAGATTTTTCAGGTAAAATGTCAATTATTTCTTAGACGCTACATACCTGAAAGACACTCTGAGAAAAGGGAGTAACCCCCTCCCAACCCCCCACCCGCGTGTGTGTATATGTGTTAATTTGTGTTCTGGTTAAATACTTTCATGTCGTGTTCTAAATCATTTTTTTACACCAAATTACTGAGTTTATTTTTTAGATAATCAACAATCAGCCTTTTTTTTTAGTGATTTTTTTTTATTTTTACCCAGTCGCGCAAACACTAATTCCCTTTTACACTTTTGACATTTTCCCTGATCAAAATCTGATCAGCACGGACTAAGTGTATTTGAGTGCTAGGCTGTATGATGAAGTGACAACTTGTCTACTGTTGAGTATTTGTGGAGTTTATTACTTTTTTGTGATGCATATTTCAATAAATGGAATATAAGGTGTAAGTCACTCGGCATGTGCGCATCTTCGAACGGGTACAGGGTTTATTTCCAGGTATGAATATTACAGCGTTCGACATGTTCTCTCGATAAGCATCAATTGTTTTTGAATGCATATGAATATACATAGCAAATACGCTGGTTGTTTGTTCCATTCTTACGATAGATTATTGCAAATTGTTTGTACGAGTTTAACTGTGTATTATTTTAAGCTTATTGTGTATATATTGGTATGCTTTTAAAAACCACGCGCAAGTACATATGTATGTTTTTCTTCCAAACTTGCATTTATATTATTCAAAACGATAATTATTCATAATTATCGTTATGACTGTTCTTATCTGTTCTGGTTTTAAGATGTTTTCATCAATTCATGTGTTCCCAAATACTTTACTATCGGAGATGTGCACGCGTCGATAGCCAAACCAAAAATTCACTCAAGTGTAACGAGGGTACTGGGGTATATATCGTTAAAATAAGACAAGGTATCTGAAAGAAATATGGCGAAATAATTCGTATGAAACAAGCCGTGCATTGATGCAATGTTTTTAAGAATTCATGTCAGCTTTAAACAACAAAGAATCAATTAATTATCACGCAACAGAGTTTTCATAGTATATGTAATGTACAGAATAATTTGTCTAATCCGGACTCTGAATACTCCGGAATATTGTCCACTCCGGTCTCCCCGGTCTAAACCTAGACAAATTTGATTGGTGGGTCACCCCCAAAACGCAGTGCTATCCTGGCGTTTTTAGTAGAGAGTGGGATATTTTTCCTCATGATAAAAACTTCAGATTCATGTGGTTATACCACTCATAGTTTATTTTCAATAAGCAATGAACTTAAGAAGGGTCATTGTTTTTCACAGTCATCTGTGATAAATATATGATAAAGAACCAATTTTACCGTTGGGAGTTTTGGATGAAAAGTCACATTGCCTGGAAAATTAACGTTATAGAAACGTCCAGTACCCTCCCCCTCCTAAGTAGGATTTTCGAGTTTTGGGCAGTTTTTTTTCGGGGGGGGGGGGTTGTTGTTGTTGTCTTCGCAATCATTTATCATATAAAATCTGAACTCACCCTATTTATCTTTAAAGACTGGAATTTTAAGGTTAGATCTATTTATATCGAAACCTTCATGTTTGATTTTCACATAATGAAGGTTAATGAACAAGGTACTTATTTCACACCATTTTCATATGGATACATGTACTTTGGTCTTTTATTGATTTGTAAATCGGAAATTTTAAATATTTCAGTGACCATCTCTTTTTCTCAAGTTGTAAAACAACACACAATGAATCAATCAATCATCTTTTTCTCATCTTTTTTTTTTTACTAGATCGATGTCTAGGAACTGATACACTTGTACCAATTTTTTTCTTCATTCTTCAAATTCTTCTCCTGTATTCTTTGATGGCAGTATTTGCATAAAATTTGGTGTTGAATTTCCTTATCTCTATAGCATTTTCTTTTGCATACTGTGCTACGACTTGACTTGAATTCAATGGAAATCTTCCATCGATTCGAACATTTTATCTTCGTGCCTTCTCTGTCCAGCTTCATTACATGGCTGCCTTCTGGAATACTCCTGATGTCATTAAGAAACTCTTTTTTTGTCGACTTAACTTTGACTTTTACCACCTTTTCCTTTTGAGCTCTTGCCTCTTGTACAGCTTTTGAGTCTTCTGTTGACATATGTGTGACCATCGATCTCTCATTGTCATACTTCCTACACCACTATTTGCCACTTGCCAAGAAATACTGATGGTCCTGCTCTTTTTGGGTGGTAATTATTTGTTTCCTGCGCTTCTGGCTTCTCTGGGTACTGAGGTTTTAACTTTTTGTTTCTCTGCTGGTGATTTTTTTTTCATCTAGAAAATACCTTTTCTTAACTATGTCTTTAAGGCCACGCCAAACTCTTCTGTAATGGTAGGATCCATTGTGCTAATTATTTTCAATGTTGCTTGTTCTTTTGCTTTGGTATTTTAAGATGCAATTTTTTTGACAGATTCTATTTAGATTTTCTTTCGATATTGACTGTGTAAGGACCATACGCTTAAACATGTTGACTGGCAAGGGACGCTGTTTTGCAACTGATTTTCACATTTTTTTCGGCAGTGGTAAAAAACGCCATTTCTTTATCAAAAAGTACTCCAAGAATTTCCTTTTTTCTTCAGTTTTTTTTTTTGCATATTTCTAATACTTTACAACCTGAAATATTCCTGGATACGCCCTATTGAATATTTAAATTGACTTTTTTGGTAGGTTTTTGACAAATTTTATATAGTTGTCAAGTATTACCGAGGGAGTGAAGTTATTAACTAGGAATTGTGTCATCCTTTTGTTTTAAAAATGTTTTTGCCACCTGTTAATTGCAGCTTCGTCTCTTTACGAATGAGCAAGAAATCCATTGTTATCTGAAAATTAATGGGAGTTATAATCACCCTCAAAGAAAATCTCGTGGACCATTTTCATTCAAATTACAATTAATCGACATTCGTGTGTGATAGTAGTAAATCATAATATTTAAAGGTTTTTTTCTGTTTCAACAACGTAAAAAAGCAAAAATGAATTGAGGAATTGTGTATTTCCTTACTTCACGAAGAGTAGCAAAGCTACGATTAGTCAAATTAATATGGAAACATCCCAAAATAGTGTAGATTCAAGTATGTTCCAATCAAATCCCCCGGGAAAAGGATACTGTGACACAATCTGTGATCAAGATTTTACATAGGAGAGAAATCTACTGTTTATAAACAGTGGGGTCATACTAACTCAGGTGAGTGTTGTGGCCCTTGGCCTCTTGTTGAAAATCATTACATGTAAATTATAAAACATTAAAAGACGTTGGTAAATTTCAATATTTTATCCCCTGAAGTGCCGATGAAAGCATATATTAGTACATGTTCATCATGATGAAGATAATGCTTACCAAAATTCCTTTGACAATTCTTTGAAAGGAAAACAATATTTACATTGGCATTCAGTTCACTACCTTTAGTAGCGAAAATTAAATAGCATTCATGTTTCGACAGAAAGATATCTCGGAGATACAACTTGTATATATTTGTAATAATCTACTGCAGAACTATCTTCTTAGTTCTTTAACATGGTGGAAAAAAGAAGTCTAGCTCAATGATTTTTTTATTTCCTTTTTGGTACACGGTCCAATAGATCACAGTCGATAACAGCGTTTTAGCCATTTTATGTGCTTATGTCGATAAAGTACTTTATATAACTGCGTGTGGCAGCTATTGAGGAAATGAAAGTACCTATCAATGCGTAGTTTTATCCAAGATTATGTTACGTTTTCCTGCATTTTTAAAAAGTGTTTCTGTCCTTCTACATGACGTTCTGCCGATTTAATTGATGGCATTCATGGAATCCGATCGCATGTTTCAAGACGTGTTAACAAGAATAAACCTTTAAGAAGTATCCAGTTCTTAGTTCCGAGAGAGAAGCATATACTTTACGGGCCCATTCTTAATGGTAAATTTTATATTACCCACAGGTATGTAGAAATATTTAACATACGGTTCTATTCTTGTTGGTCATAAATTTTCATCTATGAAATTCACATTACCCACAGGTTAAAATATTTAACAAAGAAAACATGGTGATATATGAATTAAATTTTATTTGAGCAAATATTGTGCTTCATTATATTCAAAAAATCTCATCTGTGCAGATCTACTCTAATAATTTTAACATTTTTTTTTAATTTGATATTATTCAGCAATATGGCAAATTCAGTTTTTTATTAATTTTAAACTGAGTCATGAATAGTGTTTACTTTTACCCAAATAATAATTTTCTATACCTTATTATACCTTGACGAAAGGCGTGTATCTCTCAAGTCTGCATTCGTCGAACAAAATTAGGAAAGGTAGAAATCATTTCAAAAAGCATCCATAGTTAAGGAAATTAATAACAACCTCCACCGATATAACAAGAATGAAATAAATGTGTAATCTGAAGTTTAACCTCTATATAAATGTCTATCCTTTTATCCTCAAAAAGCTGCTACAATTTCATCATTTAGGTCCCACACATAAGTGTTTGCTGTTAGACCCTGCCCCCTGAGGCATATTTTATCTTAATGATTTCACTGTATATTTTTATAGACCAAAACATCAAATCTTTGTATATTGATTGGAAAATTTGTATATTTTTTACCTACAGAGATTTATGCGAAAAAAAAAATTATGTACATTGTACCGTATTATATGTTTTCTTTTGTTATGATTATCGATTTTTTGATCTGAAATAAATACTTTTATTTTGGTTTTCAGGTCAAAGAAATGTTATAATGAATCTTTTAAATCTTCTTTTACTGCTATACGTAATGCAAACACAGGCCTACGGTAAGATTCGATCATTTATCTATGATTGTATTTTCGAATTTTCGAAATATGAATATAACCAAACTCAAATATTACAATATATATCATACTAAACACTTTACAGGTAAAAATGCCTTCCTCAAGGAAATTTTTCGATAACGCAGTACAGTTAAGGTGCCCAGTAGAAATACTGAGTTTTTTAAAGATTAAAAAACATTCTTTACAAGTCTGTGTGGGACAGATTTTTTTTTAGACTTGTCATGTGATGTGAAAGTCAGGTTATTTTAACCAATATATTTGCAGTATTGTGGTCATCTATGAGTGTGAAGTTATCGAACAGTAATCACATGTGTCCAGAGCAATCACAGATATCTAAAAACATCAGAGTTGGGATCAGGTGGCATGGAGGAGTAATCATCCCCGGTCGACAAGTCACACCCGCCGTATGCTGCTTGTCATGATCTGGCAAACGGAAAAAAATTTGTGGACAATTCATGTGAAAAATAAAATAATAGTCTAAGAATTTGTATAAAAATCGACTGTAAACATTCGACTTAACGACAGATTGCATTTGATAACAAGGTCATTGTATCAACCATAGAATTTGCGGAAAGTTGACTTTAAACGACACTGTTGATAACCTTATATCATTAATTTATTTGTCTAGATTTAGAAATTGTTCGTACAAATGTATGTAGGACATGCTCTAGCATATTGAATGACCTGGGAAACATATACTAGATATGAAGGTCATCATGGAATATAGAGAAGTTGAAGTCATCACGTTTATCATGAAGTTTTTCGTTAGTTTGCGAATAATGTCTTTAGTAAATTATCCATTTACGAAACAGATGTGTCAACCTCTGTGTTGTCTTCTATTTTGAGTTCAAAAGGATATATTGAATCAACGTAGGGATAAAAATAATTATTGTTAATTGATAAAACGTCGTCGATATATCTTAATGTCGAATTGAAGGTCACAACAGGAGATATTAATTCCAAAATCGCAAGGACATAACCTAGTTTTAAAAAATGGGTTTAATTAGCAAATATTATCAACAATTTTTCTTGTTTTTAAAAAGTTTTGCGAACATGCATGTATCTAAATTACACTGTATGATATTGCTAAAATTACGTTTATTATATCGCACATTGAATTCTTTGCAGATCAACTGTATGATATATGAAAATAATAAAATAATTTACAAAATGTCATAAGACATTTGAATGTTTTGCATATCAATTGTATTATATCTAAAAATAAATTAATTTACAAAATGTCATTTCGTTCGCAGCACTTTTCAAATACATTTATACTTCTTGCGTTTATGTGCAAAAGTTTGTCCTGATCCATTGAGGATATGCACTTACAATATATCAATTTATTAAGATCCTTCTATTACCCTCTAATGAACCCACACACATTGTACAAATATACGGTCGTAATGTATGGAAAATATATGGAACCTGATCCCATCTCTGATGTTTTTGGGGGTAAGTGTTTGCTCTGCTCCCGATTTATATTGCTTAAATGGACATTGAATAGTGTTCATTATCTCCATATTTCAGGAATAAAATAATAAACAGGCATTACATCTAATTTATTAGCCTCATATTCTTTATTCATTGCATAAAATATTACTTGACTCGCGCGCCTTTTACTGCTAAAAATGCGTGGATTTTTAAGATAGGACGTCACATTGACAAGTGTATTGCAATCAGTGAAGTGTTTATATCTTGCTGTATTGACGACAAAACTGCAGTAAATTTTTATGCATGTTACAGCTCTCCATAATTTTTAAAATCGGAAACCATTGCCTTCTAAAAAAATTTGAAGAATTGTTAATTTTGTGTGATGTCATAGTAAATGATTGATTCTATGTTGTTTTACGCCCCATTCGAGAATTTTTCACTCTTATAGATATTGAGCAGTGAGGGATCTTTATCGTGCTAACGCCTGTCGTGACGGGGGGCCTCGGTTTTTAAGGTCTCATCCTAAGGACCTGCAACTTTCACTTCAAAGTGTCGAGCGCTCGCTGAAGGAACAGTTGCTACCTATTTTTATCGACTTAGGTCAGCCGCAGCCGAGATTCGAACTCACGACCTTCCGATCACGGAGCGAGCGCTCTATACCGACTAAACTACCGTGACGATCATCATAGTAAATATTTCCCGTATAAATTAGTCCCCGCCTACTTTTTAAATATCCTTAAATGTGCTGCAAAACAATTTTATGTAAAGAATAAAAACTTTGAAAAATCTAATTTATATTCACTGAATATTATATTATTTCGTTATCCATAAGAAAATTTAGCTTTGCGGAAACCTGCATGGCAAGCAAACATATGGCCCGATGATGATAAATATATAACATGGGGAGCAAACAAGTCTGTGGATGGGAAATATTCAGATCGCTCCGCAGATGGCAACCAGTGTACTATATCGCATTCTAATCGTCTAACAGCGACACTGCGTGTAGACCTAGAGAGACTGGTCAGCATCAGTCACATCAACATCTACTACAGGACGGATAATTTTCCTAGTAGGTTTGTCTTCGTTAAGATGTTTGACATTTAGTCTGTCTCATGTGAATTGGGATTTCAATAGGCTGCAATAGTAATTTTCATCAATTAGTTAAAGATCTAATTCAAAAGTTTACATGTATTTGGAGACATACTTAAATAGTTCATAGATTTAAAAAAAAATGATGTTAAACAGGCAATGTTTGTTCCCAAAAATTACATTGTTTTTATATACATATTTATTTATGCATGTATCTTCAGCATCTTTTAACTGTTTTTCTTAAATACATATTTCATATTCCAACTAGCAATAACGTTATCTTATATGACCACAGAAAAGTTCTGCCTTGAAAATCCAAATCCTTGTGATATTTTCAGGATTTTTTTTTCTTGCACGAAACGATTCATGTAGCAAATCCTGTCAAAGTCTCTCAAAAGGTACCATTGCAATAACTTTTTGTATTTTATCTCAAAATTCAGAAATGCCTTTGCCTTCGAACTAGGTCATTTTTACGAGTTGATGGTATCAACTCATGTTATGTGACTTGTAAGGGATTCCCCAATGTATCGAAACTAATCACATTTTCGTTTGAGTATTTTGCATACAGGTTCTTGTATAATATAGGTTTATTTACAATTTTCATGATCTACAGAACAAAAATGTTTCCTGATATGCTTAGAAATGTTTATAAACTTAAATATTTATTATAAATTTTATTGGAATTTGTGTCAATCCGCGAGAGAAAATAGTGTTATGGACATGCAGTCAACAAAAGTGATATGTCGTGCAAACAGTTTTCATTTATAAATCAATAAATGGTTTCTATAATAAGCAGTATTTTGAAGATGATTTTTAAAGAAAGTTCATAAAATTGAACATTAATTGTACAAACCAGGTTATTTTTACAAGATTGACGTGCTGGTGGCATATAAATAAACTAATTCTTGCGCTGTTATGCTAATGAATAGAGCAGTTTTCCTGCGTTAGTGATGAATCGTTCAACACAGCCCTTGTTTGTAAACAAAGCGATATGTTTTCAGTAAAGAAGGTCGAAGTAAATCAATTACTAATCTCAAACGGAGGAAATGAGCTGTACCAGTTGAAAAAATAATTTTGAAATTAAAGTTCTTATTTCTTGTGCAAGCAATAAAGAATTTCGATTGCTACTGAATCAAATAACTTAAACCATGGTTAAAACGCCATTATGTGTTGCCATGTGAGTTAAGCATGTTTATTTAGTGGAATTAAATGTATTGGTTGATATTACATGAGCGTATCAGTAATACTGATGTCAAAGGATAATGTTTTTGTAGTTTTCTCAATTTTATGACCTTGATGTATCGAAAATTTTTCATGTGTCAGGTAGGCTTAAAGGGTTAGATTTTTTCAGCAGCGGACAACTTTGTGCTTCAAGTTCTTTTCAGATTGATCTTAAAGATACATGAGACAAAAGCCGAGATAAATTACATATTTATATTTGTTAAAACCACTGTTGAGAATTCCTATCTTCCACAATCTAGATCTGCTCCACAGCAAGCTTTAAATACAGTAATGGTCACTTAACATGCCTGTGATTCTTATCTCATTAATTGTTTGCATTACACTGAAAAGCGTCCTTCTTTACTATTTCAAGCTGTGTTTTGTGATCAGATGCTGACCATAAAATAAAGTGAATTAATAGTACTGAAGACAGTAAATAAAAAAACAAAAAAAGTCGGATTTTTTGATAAATTAAATGTGAAATGCATAATTATAAATATGAAGAGACTGAGAAATCAAATTAATTCAAGAGTATAAATTGTTAAAAAAAACTTTTTAAAAAAAGATCATGTAGACAGCCAATATACCATGCCATTGTGATGAATTTAAAGTCTTCAGTCGAAAAGTTGTAAGAACTTGTTTCTGATCCTTTTGTGTTAAACAATAATTTTTTTTTCAAATCAATTTTGATTTTGTTCAAATTAAATCAAAATCCGAAAGAATTGAAATATTAAAAGTGCATACATATATCAATGAAAGTCAAGTATTTGAATTGCAAGAGAGCTTAATCAAGAGAAATGAATTATTCGATGTCCATATCAATTAAAGTCAAAGTTATATTTCAAGAGTGACGAAACCAAACGAAATGACATATAAGATGCTCATTTCAATTAAAAGTTAAAAAGTTGAATTTCAAGAGTAGCTAAATCAAGAGAATTGAAATATTTATTGTGCATATCAATGATCATAAAAGGCAGGGAGTTGAATTTCAAGAGTGTCTTAATCAAGAGAACGGAAATATCAAATGTGCATGTAAATTTTGAAAGACAAGGAGTTGAATTTCAATAGTAACTAAACCAAGAAAATTGAATCATGTAATTTACATATAAATAAAAGTAAAAGATGTGAATTTTAAGAGTGGCTTAATCACGAGAATGTGAACATATTGGCGTGCATTGAAAATATCAAATTATTTGTCAATTTAAGAAAGCAGTGAAAATATTCAATGTGCATATTAATAAAATAATTCAATAAAATAATTCAATTTGCACTATTTGTAAATAGTTCCCTGCTTGTAATACTCTTGTAAGTTGGGCCTCTTAGTTTGAGATATGTTTGTAAAATGCTGTTTTTTTTTTTTTTGTTTATTTAGAAGTTTTTTTTCGTTCTGTGATATGATTTTATTAGAGTTGTGCCATTTTCCCCAAATTTGAAATTTCTAGTCATTTTGATATACATTATAATATTTCTGTCAAAAGATATCGAGTGTCCTAAAACTGTTCCCGTTAGTTTTAATGATGATATTCTGTGCTCTGTAACCATTTCAATGATGGTACTCTTTAATATTTTTTAAATAAAAAATTACTTTAAATACATGTACAAGCTTAATTGTCATTTTACGAAAAATTCCAAAACTAACTAGTTTTATTTGTTTTCTATATTTAAAGGTTTGATTTGAGATTACTTATTATACATTCAAGTAGATATTAAAAAAAAATAAGAATACGTGTTAAAAATACATGATGGAAAAGGTACAATAGAAATGACTTTATTTTATTTCTCAAACAAAAAAAAAATTAAGTGATACTTTTCATCAATGCACATAACATCACAATATTTATCATACCTTATGAGGTTTTATTTCACATAACCCAAATAAGGATTGGAGACCTCAATTCATTTAAACATGATATATTCAATATCATCAACGTCGCCAGCGAGGCGCAGTGGTATGAGCGTCTGCTCTAGAGTCGCGAAGTAAGGAGTTGATCCTTACGTCGTGGGTTCGAATTCCTCTGTGGGACGTGGAGACGTGTCCTTCGGATAAGACCGTATAAACCGAGGTCCCGTGTCGCAGTGGGTGCTGGCACGAAAAAGATCCCTCACTGCTCAATGGCCCTAAGTGCCGAATATAGGTCAAAATTTGCAGCTCTACACCGGCAAGTGGTGGCGTCTCCATATGAGTGAATAAATATCGAGAGGGACGTTAAACAACTAACAAACAATACCATCAACTCGTAGCAGTACTTTCAGTACTTTGATTTCTTAAACGTTTTGCTTTACCAGGTCATTGTTTCCTAAACTGTTTACTATCATTCCAATAACAGCGTGTCACTTTGCTAAATCAAGCGTGCTTACTTTGATTACCATATAACTCATCGATTGGCTGTTGGTTTCAACTCATTGAATCCTACTTTGCATATTAAAGACGAGACCCAACAATAGCACTGACAGTACTGACCAATCGCATCGAATGACCGTGTACGAGTATTCCCACGGCATTTGTAGTAAACACTAACACGTTGTCAGACAAAGCCCGTTTTGCTTCCAATACCATACTATAGTAAGTGTCACATTGTGACATAACCGAGTGGAGGTAAAAAAAAAAATTCAACATATAAGTTAGTTCAGCTATATGTAGTTTCCCAACAAATCAAGCTTCTCAAAACCTTTATCACTATTGTCATTGATATATACAGCTGTACAGTTCTGAAGTCTGGTATAGTTCCGTACTGTCATTTTTGTAAAAGTGTTTTGAAAGGAAAAACTTGATATGACATTAATCAGAAAAAAGCCGGAATAATCGGCTTGATGATTAATGATAATACACAAGTATATAAAAGACCTTTTCAAGATTTAAATTTATTATAAAGACTTTGATTTACACATTTTTTAAAATTCTAGCGTTTCTTCAACGGAAGATGAGGAACATCAGCTGAAAAAGAATTTATAAAAATGAATTAATTTTATGAAACTGACTTTTTTAGTAGAGTTCTACAGAGTAATTGCACACTATAAATGGATAGAAATGGAGATCAGAAAAAGTGGAATCCGACGTCAAAAGGTTAACTGCATTTTTCAAAATTAGAAATGTACTAGATTGGTACATACCGGTACATGCAGAAATAAATGTAAGGGACGGATTTTGGAATCAGTCACAAAATACTGCTGTTTTATTACTTTATTTTACACTCGGCGTATTATTTTTCAAAGCTTACACAGTAAAATATTTTTAGCCTGATTAACTTGTCATGCTATACATACCTTTGTTTTGATAATCGCTTTCCGGGTTTGGGTGCGTTGAAGAGGGGACACGCCTAGGAAACTTAACTGGAAAAATAGCATTTTCCTCCAAGATGCGCTTAGCTGGGTTGTTTCTTTCGGAAGTTGAAAATTTATTTGTGTGTTGTTTATCGAAATTTGATATAATGGTTCCAAATAAATTGGAGGCCAATCCTAGGTTTTCAGGACACTTTCCCTGATAATATTTTTCAAGTTTTGCAATATCGCAATTCACAATTCCGGAACGAGGGAGAAAACTGCCATCCGATATTTTAAGGAGATATTTAGGTTTGTTGCTGTTTATTAAATGGCATCGAATTTTTTCTGAAAACGAATTTTTTACGGATTCTGATGCTTTTAATTTCGTATCATATTCAATTGTTTTAGACTTAAGTTCTTTTTGTATTTTTTTCAAAAAATCATTGGCGGACTCAAGAAGTGCCCTTTCCTCTTGATGCTTACTAATGTCACCACATTGTTGACTGGAGATACATTTTTCAAGCCTGCATTGTCTTGCATTATGCTCTAATTTTAAGTGGCAATTGGAGCATTGTTTTCCAAAACTGGGGACGGCATTGCCACAGAATTTATTTTTTAAATTTTGAAGGTGGTCAGCAGCACTTTCGCTCTGGACTTCCAGTTCCAGAATCTCCTGTTTTAAACTATTCATTGAATGTTCTATTGGTGTTTTGTAAACAAAGTTTTCAAAAATGTTCGAAGTGTCCTCTTGCACTGTTGGCTGCAGGTCGCTATCACCTTGTGGTGTTGCATGTGAGTTTGGCTCAATTGCGTTCTCAAACACTTTAATGTTTACACTTGAATCCGACGAAGATATGAAGTCCAAAAACCTGGTGTAATGTCTTTCTGTTAGGTCAACATAGTCGCCCTCTTCGTCGCGATATGCAAAAACAGCTCCAGACATTCGCCCGATGCACTTTATTTCGGAACATATTGCACTTTGTAGTCCAATATATGATGCAAGTTCTGATAATTCTACAGATAACGGAGATACACGTTTCACACCATAATTTTCGTAATGAATTTTCAAGTATGCTTCTCGAGCACTCTCTCTGAAAAACGCCATGACTGTTACTATAGTGAGTACTACTGTAGTTGTGTTCCAACGTGACAGTGTAACAAAAAAAAATTCTGAAACGTTCTCAATTGTATAGTTACATAACATTTAAAACACGTTTGTCTCACAAATTCCAAGCAAAGCAAGCAAGACAGCGGCGGTCAGCCATAAAAAAAGATTATACAGGTATGTCAACGTAACAAAAATCTTTTATTTATTTTATCAATAGATATGTAGAATTGAGACTGGACAGTGATGGGTTGCAGGAGCGTTCGAATTGTAAGAGCTAATTATGCTTTTACTAGTGGTTTTAATAAAGACCATGCGATACATTCCAATTAAAGTATCCAATTTAGCAAGGATTACAAAGTGCCACTAACAGTCTATACCAGGTACACATACATGCACCAATTTCAAGTATAAAACATACATAACAGTCGAAATTGTCTTGCAATTCTACAATCATATTAATGAAACAAGTAACTTTTATTTATTTTAGCTACAAGCTTTAAATAAATAAAATATTAAACAGGCCCATGAGAAGCAATTTCAACTTGAGGTGGAGTGGGCACAATGGAAAAGAATTTCTTGAAAAAAAGGGGGGGGGGTCAGACATTATTATGGGGGAGGGGGGTCCACACTTTATTGTATGGTGTAATTTGGCAATTTTTTTTATTGTATGTATAGTACAGTACGTGGTAAATTAATGGGGGGAGTTACAGTTTATAGGTACCTGGACCATGAAGCTTGTACATGTGTGTAATATTTTAAATTTATGTGTAAAGGTTTAATATGACAGGCACAAAAAAAGCGGGAAGGGGGGTCAACTAATTGTAGGCAATGAAATGGACCCAGCTGCCCTCCAATTGCCCTTCAAACTTTAGAAAGTTAGGGCTCCCCACTCCTCTGCCAACCATATTTCTGTATGTTCTTTCCCCCTTCAAAATTTCGTCAAAGCGTAACACCGCTCCTTCACCCAAACTTCATTTTTTTTTACCTGCATATCATCTAACACCCCCTCCCTGTCCTTTTAAGAATTTTAAAGAAGTTGCTGCCCTTTCAAGAAAATTTCCAAAACAGAGTCCAGTTTAAAATCATGAATTAATAGACGGAAATTAATTGGTCTGGTATAGAAAACTTTTAATTCATTAAGAATGTTAGGTCTGATTTGTTTGAGTCATTTTTAGGAGGACAGAATGGAAAAACGAAATAAATTTGGAAGATCATATGTAAGTGGCAGAGAACTGGGAGAGGACTTTCGGAGGATTGTAATCGACCACCTGATGAAAGGGGGAGCCGAGGTTTCAAATCTAAAATTACCGAGAGGTCTACGTAAATCTGTTGCAGAAAAATTTGGTATAACTGTAAGTTGTATTTCCTCAATATGGAAAAGGTATGCTATGCTTGGTGCCGTATGCAGAAGACCGCGACGAGGAGGCCGACCTAAAACCGTACAACCAGAGGATGTGAATCATGTTGCTCTTTTGAAAACTATTAACCCAACAATGTCACTCAAGTTAATAAAAGATAATATTTTACAATACTCTAACACTCTTCAAAGTATTAGTACACAGACCGTCTCAAATATTATCAACAAAGATCTGAATATGACTCTGAAACGTGTCACAGTGTCTCACGCTAACAGGTTTACTTTACCAAATTTACAGTACACTCAACGATTTTTACAATATGTCAGTAATAAAGACCCATTTGCACTCAAATTTATGGATGAAATGGAATTCGTTCTTTCTGATGGAAATAGAGTATATGGCCACTCAACAAAAGGAACCCCCTGTTTTACTGTTTCTAAATTTAATACAAAAGTTCATTATACTGTCAGTCTTATAATTGGTGTATCTGGAATTAAATATGTGAAGATCGTGGAGGGTTCCTCCAACTCCATTGATTTTTTGCATTTTTTAGGAGAGGCGGGGAATTCTTATACAGATGAAGGAGAAAAAGTATTTCAACGAGGAGATAGCCTTATAGTAGATAATGCTCCCACTCATCATAATATGTCTGAGGTGGTTCTCAGGAACTGGCTACCAACTATTGGTGTTCAATACGTATTTCTCCCTACATATTCACCTGACTTAAATCCAGCAGAACTGTGCTTCAGAAAAGTCAAAATATTACTGAAAACAGAAAAATATGCCTCACTTCTATCACAAAACATAAAAGTTGCTTTATACACTGCCTTGAAATCACTGTTCACGACACACTGTCATTTTTTCAGGCAACAGAGTATATAGATGTTTAATGCTTAGTTATCTTATGCCGAATAAATACATTATTTTCCAGACTTGGTATTCCATTTAATATATATATTTTTTTCTTTTTTACCTTCTACTTTTACATATGCGATCCTGTATAGTAGAAATAGCAGATAAACCACGTGTTAGTGTTTACTACAAATGCCGTGGGAATACTCGTACACAGTCATTCGATGCGATTGGTTAGTACTGTCAGTGCTATTGTTGAGTCCTGTCTTAAATATGCAAAGTAGGATTCAATGAGTTGAAACCAACAGCCAATCGATGAGTTATATGGTAATCAAAGTAAGCACGCTTGATTTAGCAAAGTGACACGCTGTTATTGGAATGATAGTACTTTGAAACGATCCATCGAGTACATCTAGTGTATTAACAAGGCAGTTACTTAAAAGTTTACGGAAATAAAACATTGAATGGCAGCCACTTTGTAGAGGAATCCATCAGTATTCGTGATTGTCTGTTGCTTACCGTTAGTAATGAAATGACTCTGCATTATTCTTTAAGAATTACTTTAGATCCCACACTTAGATAATATCTTCAAACAACAACAGTTCCCGCGCGTGCTTGTCAGCAATGGCCAAATTAACATTGTAGATTTCTGTAGAATTTGAAAAAAAAGTGTCATATGATTTTGTCTTCAACTGTGTGTATCTAATCTGACAAAAAACAATTTTAAAAATGGAAATTTTACACTTTTGATGTTTAGTGATAGTTTCATCAAGACAATTTAATTTAATGTTATCATTAAGAATGACCTGAAAGCGCTCATGATTGACAAATTATAAATGATATTTTAAATTTACAAAATCCGTTATCCCTATTGCAGATCAGACAGATAATAAACATTATACATAAGAAAATACATAGATTTCAAGTTTATAAATTAATTTGAAAATATATATATATAAATTTAGGTCCTGGTGCCTTCTATGATCGATTTGCTGGGTTTTTCCTCTTTGTATCAAACACTACGGCACAAAGCGATGGTCATTTATGTTTCCATGATATACAGAACGTGAACGGCACACCAATAGAGAACCAGACAATTATCTGTCATGTTTATGGACGGTATGTCATATATTACAACGAAAGGAAACTGAACGTGATGTACCCAGCTTATTATTCTAGATATGCATACAACGAAATATGTGAATTGGAAGTCATTGGTAAGTTTTTAAATATACAGTATCAATATTTTTTTTTTTTAAATCTGCTTTATATTTCTTTTTTGTTACCATGAAATATATGGAGATAACGAACAGTATTCAAGCTCAAAAGTCCATTATACAATACAAAATAGTAGCAGAGCAAACACGGACCTCTAAACATCAGAGGTGGGATCAGGTGCCATGGAGGAGTGAGCATCCCCTGCCGACCGGTCACACCCGCCGTGTGCTCCTTGACATGATCGGGAAATAACGGAAAAATGCGTCGACAATTCAGTGTGTAAATAATGGCCTAACAATTAGTATGAAAAACGTCAGTCAGCATTTGACTCAATTATAAATTGTATTTGCTGACAAGGTCATTGTATCGACCATAGAACTTACGAAATGATGACTTTAAACGAGACAGCTGATATTCTTGTTTCATCAACTTATTTGTCAATAATTTACCTCGTTTTAGAAATTGTACGTACGTAGAGCATGCTCTTGCGTATCGAATCAACTGAGAGATATATACCCTGTATGCAGGTGATGAAGGTATATTGCTGCATAAGTAAGGGAAGTTGACGATTGAAAAGTTAAAGTCATCACGTTTATCATAAAGCTTGGTTGTAATATAAATCATAAATCAGCAGGATTTTTTTCATATATAATATACGTACAGTACCGACCAGACACAACCTAACAGAAAGCGAACCCAAAGCGCACCCCGGGTTCGCTTTCTGGGTTCGCTATAGCTGACCCCGAGCGAACCCGGAGCGCGCCCCGAGGGAACCCGCAGCGGACCCAAAGCGAACCCCAAATTCAGTAGCGAACCCAGAAAGCGAATGCGCGTTCGGTGTTGCGTAACAGAGCTGTCAATCAGGATTAGCGATAAGATGTGTTAACCAATCATCACGTCGACCGATCAGCATGCTAGTTTGTAATTCGATGTAAATAAAACATCCTACAAGCAAAGCGTGTTAATGTACAGTGTGAAATTATTATTAACATGATTGAAAATATACATATACTCTTTAATTATCCAGGTAACATGTTATATTTACTCATTTATTTTCTTTATTTTTTTTTTTTTATCTTTAAAAACAAATAATTTACATTGCAGACAAAACGTTCTTTAATTTATAAAAGAAAATAATGGTTATCACAATTTTTACTAAAACAAAAAAGAAAAAAAAAAGGTTTTTGACAAATTATAGCAATTCATCATCTCAAGATACTTATGCATATGCTGATGCATATGTACGTGCTTTCATTCAATTATTTTATTTTTATAATTCTAAGTTACATTTTTGTTTTAATCCACTGGAATAAAAAGAAAAAAAAAACAAAGCGCGATTTACATGTGCATTATTGAACGAACTAATTATCGGTAGTAAAAAAGTTAAAGTCATCACGTTTATCATAAAGCTTGGTTGTAATTTAAATCATAAATCAGCAGCATTTTTTTCATATATAATATACGTACAATGTAGTAGTCACAGGCACTTGTTTCGTATGCGGGCACCCCCTACTTATTTAACACAAGGTACCTAACTCAATTTCAGGCACCTCCGGTTCAAGCTCGTATTTTGTTTATATATCAATCATTAAATTACTTTTAAATGACATCGTTCGCTTTGGGAAACTTTCTCTTGTCAAATAAACCGTTTCAGGCGTCTTTGTCGAGCCTTTTTATTGTAAACCACTCATTTATTCCTCGAAATAATAAGACTTTAGGTACCTTTTAAAGCAACTTTATACAATAATATTAATATTTTGTCACAGGTATTGTCGAAGAATTAAATGAAATACATTACAAAATATTAACGATGTAAGTTTCACTTGTTTTCGTATGATGTCACACTTTTGATTGTGACGTCATATTTCAAACTTCCTTGCTTCAAAATCGATTGCATTCAGTATTTGTTATCAATAATGTTTTTTCGCTGACATATGTTGAAAATTAAGCTTCTTTTTTTATTTTCATCCACTTTTTTAAGGATTATAAAGCATATATAGATCGTTGTTAGGGACGAGATCAGTTTAAAATCTTAAAATAAATACTGTAGATTCCTTATTTTACGCGAGTACTTAATTTCGCGAAATGGCCGAAGGGCGTCAAATCGCGAGAACAATAATTCGCGAATGGATGATTTATATAGAGATTTTACATACATTAAAGCTCCATTAAAATAAAAGCAAGTATTTTTATTTCGCGAGTGGTGCTTCTCGCGTAATTACGCGATAATTTATTCCTCGCGTGTATTTAGGAATCTACAGTATGTTACGAATGCGTTCTTAAAAAGCCATTAAGATTTGTCGTAAGAGATTATTAAGTTGAAAACTTACGCAAAAACTTAAGATTTTTTGTGAAAACAGCTACTGAATCTTATCAATTAAAATATAATTCATGCTAAAATATTAAGAAAACTGTTTTTTACGAGTACACAAAATAATGGTACTGGTAACTCTTGTTTACATAGAACATCATCAAGATGTGTTCTCAAAGAAATGAACGTCAATTTTCTTTGACAGTAAGACAAAAGCAAGTTTTCTCCCTTTTTTTTTTAATTCAATATCTTTTGTAAGCAAAACAAACAGTTTCTATAAACATCAGGCCTGTAATGATTCGTTGAACCCGGTTCGATCCAAAATGAAAATAGAGTTTCTCTAAAGTTTAGAACCACACCACTCGTTCCTGGTAAAAGCCCTCGATTGGTCTCGGCCCTCGCCCTCCGGGCTTTGGGCGATCAGATCAGAGCAGCAGTGTGATATTATACATGTAACAATGCGACAGTAGAATTCCAGTATGCATTAATAAATTTAATTTTGAAAGGATGCAGCAATCCAGGATTTTACGGCAAAAGCTGTGATAAAAAATGTCCAAATAATTGCCAAGAACAACGATGTGACATCATCACAGGGGATTGCTTGGGTTGTATACCTGGACACCAAGGTCCTCGTTGTGATACGTGTAAGTAAAAAGTATATGCAATGTAACATACATAATCACATCAACATAAACAATGATAACCACAGCTTTCTACAATAAGGATTAATCCAAACTTAAAAAAAATAACTATTTTACGACTGTTTAGGACAACATATCAAAAGCAACATTTGTTGCTATTTTTCAGTATGCAATAAAAACTCCTACGGCATGGAATGTTCTTTATCATGTGGCAATTGTAGTGACGGTGAAACCTGTCACCATGTCAACGGAACATGTATGAATGGGTGTAACAAAGGAGCCAAGGGGGATAAATGTAAGAATGGTGCGTGATTTTTCTACAATCCTTTTTTACCTCTCATACATTGATTTTTTTTTTCATACCAGAGATTACTCTAAGTAAGCGTTCCATTATTCTTTACATTTTGGGAATAATTACTCATTAATAATAATATGAATAATATTTATATGGAATACTACATACTTAGGCGAAATAAAAAAAAAATATGTGTGGTTCCGGTAACCCGACCGTCCCTATTTTATACCCCCGACCCTAATCTTTTTTTCGGCAATTTTCATATTTTTTCCGGAATTTTTCCAGATTTCTATCAATGGCTCCGGTTTAAGTTTTAGTTTCAGCAATGACGGCCTCCTTGCAAAACATAGTGCAAGTGTTTAATAGTGTTAAATCAAAAGCAAGCTAGCATGTAAGTGTCCCCTACCAATATCGACTAGTATATTATCACACCACATCTAAATGCCACTTGCAAAGGAGTGATAGGTATTATTTAGTAAAATTAAGAAAATCATTTTGTTAAAAAAAAAGACCCTACCTACCTACCCTAATTTTTTGGAGGTGTAACCGGAAGCACACATATTTTTTTGTTTGGCCTTAGATACAGTACTTTTAGGCAAGGTAATATTAAAAATATGTATACAATAGACACTATAAATTAGAAATACAATCGAATTATAATATATCGGAATCAGTCAACGTTAGAAAACATAAATATTAAGTATAATACATGTTCGTATACCGAGGATAATCCATGAAAGCCAAGGGCTTTTTTCCAGTGGGTTCCTTTATTTCCAATGGGGTCCTTATTATAAAAAATATACGACTTTAATTTCTTTTCTTTGGCACAAATTATATCCATTTCATTTTACATCCATGTTCAGAATGCCAGTTGGGTTATTACGGAAAGGGCTGTATTCATAAATGTAGTGATAACTGTGGTGTACCCAACAGATGTGACAGGTTTACTGGAGAGTGTGAGGGCGGCTGTCAGCCAGGGTGGCAGGGAATACGTTGTATTAAGCGTACGTACAAGTGAATTGATGTTCCTCTTATATTAAAATAAGGGACAATTGTTTAATACAAACATTCTCGGTATATATTTGACATACTGTTTACCATTTTCGGTAAAGAATAGTTAAGTCAGAGTATTCTTACGCGAAGATAATTAGTCATCAAGAAATAAAAGTCGACTGATAAACCACAACCGATTTTTTATTTACGCATGAATTCAAAACGCCCTTTTTATGTTTCAATAAATAATTACTTAAATGAAAGTTTGATTTAATATAATAGAATTAAATCATTCTAGTAATGAAATAGTTTTATCTTAAGATTTATTTACGTTTTATTTTTTATTTCTGACACTAATGTAGACACTTTGAAATGGCACAATGGCCGGCCTGCTATTTTAACCCCCGATGCAGCAAAGGACACGTATCCGAATCCACAATTACAGCTGCCACAAAATGTGTTGCTATCAAGAGATTTTTACCTGGCTAATGTAAGAAAGTAAAATAATCCGGAAAAGCAAAAAAATATACTCGTGGAATATCAGTATGCTTTGTCGCGGAAAAGCAGGAATTCGATAATTAGAAAATTAGATGAGTGCTTTGGTCAATTCAGTTCAACAATGCTTTTCCGTGAAAAAAAAAATAAATCCTGCTTTGCTCACAGTATCTCCTATGCCTCCCTCGGGCATTTGTCACAGTCTTGATTCTCCTTTGCATGGAGTCTACTAGTGCGTTTATCTTTGTCATAGAGATATTATTAAACCTTTTCGACAAGGCAGTCCTTAGTTGGTCGAGAATAGCCGGGGCATTCCGATGCCTTCAAACCCTACCGAGCACTGAGTTCCACAAATGTTCGAACGAGAAAAATTTGGACTTGACAGAACCCAGTCGAGTGGGTTATTATGATTATTTTCGGAAAAGTTATTGACAAACTCTGGCTACATTGAACCAGGGGTAAACATGCTGTAAAATTAAGCATACAACACACACGTGCGCAAGTGAGAGGAACACTGATGTAAAGTTGTCGAGCTCACAAACGTAAAATTTTGATCCAATTAGCAAAGTAAAGCGATGTAATAATATGCAATATGAGATGTAAAATAGGCGTTGAAAGCATTTTTGTACAATGAAAGATAATAGCTATAACCTTCCTTTTAATTCATTGTACTGTTTTAGCAAATAACAAAAAAAAACATTTTTAATAGAGTGTGATGGTGGTTTTTACGGTGATAATTGTAACCAAACATGTGGCCACTGTTCAAGTGGATCAGAGTGTAACTATATCAACGGTGCTTGCTTAGACGGATGTGCTTCTGGATACCAAGGGTTTCGTTGTAAAACTGGTAATAAATATGTATCACTACTTCAATAAGATATTTATTTCTTTTTTGCACAAATGTCTTAACTGAAAGCTGTGTTTTCAAAAATTAACTTCTTATCTCTAGAAATATTTACATTTTTTGCAGCTTGTATACGATCGTATTGGGGTGTTGATTGTAAAGCAACATGTAGCCCAGATTGTGTCAGCCAGACATGTCATCACGAGTCAGGAGTTTGTTTGATCTCCGTTATGGTAAACTATCAAATACCAAAACTAAGCGGCATAGTGTATATGTAATAGTGACTAATTCTTTTACACTTTCTGTAAAAAGCTGGATATTTTTTTTTAACTTATTTTAAGAAGAGTAACACCACTCTCTAAAACAAACAAAAAAAAACAACAACAACAAAAAATAAACCAACATGATGATGTACGGTCATATAACGAACATTTGCATGGATAAAGTTACATGTAACACAATGAAATATATGGAGATAACGAACAGTATTCAAGCTCAAAAGTCCATTAAACATTACAAAATAGATGCAGAGCAAACACGGACCTCCAAAACATCAGAGATGGGATCAGGTTCCATGGAGTAGTGCGCATCCCCTGCCGACCGGTCACACCCGCCGTGTGCTCCTTGTCATGATCGGGAAATAACGGAAAAATGCGTCGACAATTCAGTGTGTAAATAATGGCCTAACAATTAGTATGAAAAACGTCAGCCAGCATTTGACTCAATGATAAATTGTATTTGCTGACAAGGTTATTGTATCGACCATAGAACTTACGAAATGATGACTTTTAACGAGACAGCTGATATTCTTGTTTCATCAACTTGTTTGTCAATAATTTACCTCGTTTTAGAGATTGTACGTACGTAGAACATGCTCTTGCGTATCGAATCAACTGAGAGATATATACTCCGTATGCAGGTGATAAAGGTATATTGCTGCATAAGTAAGTGATGTTGACGATTGAAAAGTTAAAGTCATCACGTTTATCATAAAGCTTGGTTGTTGGTTTACCATTAACGTCTTTTTCAAGTAAAATATCCAAACATGAAACAGAAGTATCAGACTCTGTGGTATCTTTTATCTCAAGCTCACCGGGATATATCGTGTCGACATAAAACTGGAAATAACCATTGTTAATTGACAATACGTCGATATATCTAAATGTCGAGTTGAAGGCCACAGCAAGTGTTTTCTTCTTTTACATATAAGATTTTAGACAAATTATACAAAAAAGGTATGTTAATAACGGGGCGCAAATGGTACCCATGGGAATTCCAATAGATTGTTGGAGGACCTGGTCTCTGAAAACCACATTCTCAATCAGAAACTCAAGCATTTTTTTAATGTCAACTTCAGAGTACTTGTGTGTACTATCAGAATGTTTTTTAACAAAATGATTTTGCAAATGACCAATGACATTGTAAGTAAATTTACGAGGTCTATTTTTATTGAAAAACCAGCTGTCAGTGACATCAAAGAGCCTGGATTTTAATTTATTGTGGGGAATCGTTGTGTATAAAATTGAAAAGTCGTAAGTTTTAAGCTGTTGATTTTTGTAAAATCTTGTGATTTCAAATTTTTCAAAAGTTCCTTGGAATTTTTAAGTATCCACATCTGATTTACACCACTTCTCGAACATATTATTGCACAGTACTCTTGAAGTTTCCCTTTCACTACTGTTGATATCTTAGTGAGGAGTAAAGAAGAGGCTTGGTTGAACATTTACTGGAACCCGCTAGGTATCTTTGTAATTTTTTTTTTTTGAAGTTTCGGAATCCAATATAGATATGGTAATTCAAATTCATTTTGGTTGTTTGGAATATTAAAAATATTCAAAACTGACATATGATTTTGAAAAATCTTCCTTAGAAAGATAACTATGAGTATAAGTTGGATTACCACTTGTAGAATTAAACCCAAGTTCCTCTAAAATACATTTAATATAAAGAGCTTTACAAACAAAGACAATGTTGTTACATGTACCTGCTTGTTAGCAGGGACCAGTACGTACTGATCATGTAATCTATCTAATTCTTATTTCACTTCTGGATTATTTAATACAGAAAGATGGATGGTTCTCATATTGCCCCTCAATCTTGTTTCCTCTAGTTTCTTTGCATATGGTTCTAGAAACCGTGTAATTTTGGCAGAGAGTGCTATTTTTGATCTAATTTTACAAGATATATATGAAAATAAAACACACACTTCTATTTTGTCAGTATCTTTATTCACAGAAGAATTCTGACACATCAAATGGTGACTATACCGTTATCATTATAAGTGTGGTTGTCTCTATTTTAATTGTAATCACTGGAAGTTCCTTTAACTATATTTACTGGAGGCGAATGCAGAGTGAGTACACCAGTTTATTAAAATTTTATGACATAAGCACATTAGATTTTCTCTTTCTTTTTTTTTCTCAAGAGGGTCGTTCCAAAGATATCTTGAAAGAATAAAAAATACAAAGATATATATATTTATTTGTAAGGCCGACGGATGTCTGTATTAAGTGATGAACTTTTCTCTTAGTGAAATATTTTGTTATACTTTCACGTGAAATAATTTTATTGATCTTAAAACATTTCTTAAAAAATACTATTACCCTACTGCGTGCGTAAACCACGTCCTTTTGGTAAACTCACGTAACAACGTTTGTAAATGCATGACGACGGGTAACAGTATAAAAACTTTTAACTGCGCAGAATGTCTGTGCGTAGGCTTTTGCGGGATAACAATTTTACATGTTACCCTTAAAACCATGAAATATTTTTTTAATGATTTTCTATTTACATGCATGACTAATCAATGAAAAAATTTCCTTCATATATGAAAAAGAGGCTCATTCTCAAATGCTTATACATGTATGTCTCATAATTCAAATTATATATCGTTGGTTTGATTAAAAAATATACTTTTTCACAGATAAAGCTAAGAATCTCAACAGTGTTGGACGAAATATCAACGAACTTTCGACTGTCAATGCTCTTGGTAAGATATATTCAGTTATAAGTATGAATGTTTTAAATAAGATACCGCAATGTTATCTTCAGGGGAACTGCACAATTACTTCAATAATTCCTCAGTCACTCATCATAACTATATTTAGAAGAACGGGCATTCAAATATCAGTCAAAAATATTTCTTTTTTTGCAACAATTTCTGTACAAATACAAAGCATTGTTTGTATTGATTGAAAGAAAAATAAATTGCTTCAATCATAATACTGATATTAAAACACCATACTGCCTGTAGCCTCACTATCGTTAATGATAAATCCCGCAGCATTGATGAAATTAAATCATCATTTCTTAGAAATATTTGCACCAGTTGAATGAGAAAGTCGGCATAAATGCTTGTGCTGAAAATTGATGTGATCATTTCGTCTGCATTAATTAGGAATCTTAAGTAGTTAAGCAAAATGTACATATTTACTACTTACCTGTTACAAAGAAGTAAATCTTGAGCTGATCCTTAGCTTAGATTCTGAATATATTTTTTTTATTTGACGGATTTGATGAACAGAAAATTGTTTCAAGGGAAAGTATATATAAAGACCTTGCAACACAGATTACATAAGAAACAAATGTTTCAAGTCTCAAGATAATTTTATTGTCTGCTTAGTCCTTAGTGGTAACAAGATTCTGAAAATGGCAGATTTTTGTCCTATTCGAACCTTCTTTCATGATATATTTTAGACTGGTTCCGTAATACTATTGATCATTGGACAATGCATAAAAATATATTACTCATTTGACACTCTCCGAAACTGTAAGATAGACTACCTATCTTAATGGGTGAAATATAATCAATTGCACATATATGATTTTATGAAAAATATTTAATTTAATATACCATATCTTTACGTTTTATACTTCCAGATCAAAGGAGCGAGGGAAATAAGTATGTATTATTACATTCACTTGATTTAATTTTTACAGAACATTTGAAATATGTATTCTAAAGTTGACATGCTTCTATTTAAGTTTTTTTCACATGCAACAGGATCACCTACCCTTATGCTGAAATTGAAGCAGTTAACAAGCCTGACTCTTATGATGAACTTCAACCATATGCAAATTGTGAAGAGAAAATGTAATTTTGATTCTCATAGAGTATAAAAATTTCTCTTATTTTCCATATTACATTTTAAAAGGAAAAGCAAACACAATGGAAAAAATAACAAACAAGCAAAACCAAACAAAAACACATAGTTACAAAGTATTACCATGAAATTAAATCTAACTATAAACATCCTCATATTTTGGACGCCCTAATCTTTCAAGTCATAAAATTTAAACTGTCGAACATATTGAATCTACTAGATGGTGCTAAAGTACTCCCCCGTCACATTTAATGTTTCATGTACATTTATCCTTCGTGGTTTTCGAGAAGTATAAATGTTTAGTTCTTTCAGAGATATCTATTTTTAAATCAAAATTGACAATGTTAGTAAAGAGATTTCAAGTTGAATTATTCTTTGTACATGTACGCCTATTCATCTCGGAAGTAAAACAAGTGTCAATGGATAAATAATTATGTATTTTCTGTCACATTTTCATGATAATCAAAACTGAATATGTGTTGTACAGCAGTTTAAGTATATAATCCATAAACAATTACAATGTATGAATATATGTGTCCTTGTATGATACGTGCTTATAAATTCTTCATGAATATACTTCTAACAATAGTTAATATAGGTATGCGTATTTTAGTACAAATTGATACACCTTTTACTGATCTAATTTAATGTTGATAACGTCGTTGCATTATTAACTGTTAAAAATATATATAAAAAGAAATTTGAAGTTTTGATGTTATTATCATTTTGTGAATATAAATAGACTTTTTTCCTATTTTTTACTAAAATCTTGTTTTTACTCTGTTGTAGTTTTCTACGTTGAAAATTGTATTTTCCTGTGTTTTAAGCATTTCTTAGGACGGACAAAAATGCTGATATTTCTTCCCAAAGTCTTGCTTTTGTGCTGCTATTGTTAAGACCGACAAAAATGCTGATATTTCTCCCCAAAGTCTTGCTTTTGTACTGCTATTCTTTTATTTTGTTGTTGTTGTTCAACGTCTCTCTCGAGAATTTTTCACGCTTATGGAGACGCCACCATTTGCCGGTGGAGAGCTGCAAATTTTGACCTATATTCGGCACTCAGCGCCATTGAGCAGTGAGGGATCTTTTTCCTGCCAGCACCTACTGCGACACGGGACC